ATCTTACAAAATTAGTTATACAAAACAACAATATCAAATCTGATTCATTTTATCTTTACGCCATATATATAAAATATGCAATTTATCTCATAGATCGATTCTTTATATAGTCTTGTTTACTCACATTTCGTTGTACCTGTCGAAGGGCTTGACAGCCCGAAAGCTTGTATCGAATACGTTTATTAAAGAAACATTTTTCTCTTCTTTTTTATCATCTAATAAAACCATAAAGGAGAAATTTCTTATTAGTTCTTTTCATAATAAAAATATGTCAATACAATAGTTGCAGTGGTCAGGTATATGGATTTAACTGATGAAACTACTAGAGGGGTTCATTACTGATGAGCTAGATCTTCCTCACAATTCCGGAATATATCTTCCATGAGAGATTACTAAAAACGTAAATGTTCCTGGAATTTCCTTGGAGTTAGTTGTTGTTGTCGTGTCCAATGAAAAACCTCAGATGTCCCTATACATCTCTATCACAGCAGCAGCAATGTCCTCTATCTTGGGTGTGTAAAGCTGATGTTCTGGGTCCATGTCAATTTTCTGCAAGGCTGCGGCCATTGCTGGGCATGAGAATATGTGGGTAGGTGTTAGTTCCACACCAGGACAGTTGTTGCATGTCCTATAGGTTCTTGTGCCATCTAAATGTATTGTCATTCCTTTGTATAATTTTGTTCTGAGTCTTGTTATAGTTTTTGGAGTTAGTCTCTGACTGGAAACAGGATTATATAATTTGAAAAAATAGTACAAATGTGATATTGTACGGGGATAAAGTTCATGAATTATGAAAAAAGGCATCTTCTTATCGTGCAACTGAAAGTTGCTGATGGCTTGGGCCATCTATAGGAATATATAATTTATTTAAATATGTTATTTATTTATTCCGATAGATGGCGCAAGCCATCAGCAACTTTCAGTTGCACGATAAGGAGATGTCTTTTTCATAAGAATTACATAAGTTCCAAGTCATTTTTATTTTGTGCCAAGTTTTTTCCTACGAAGGTGGTCGCTCATGTGGAAGGTTAAATATATATATATTTAAAACAAATTAGGCATATCCTGGAAACACTAACATGAGCGTTTTTTAGATGACAGAGCGCCATCTAGTGGAACAGAAATCAACTAAACTAAACGCTGATTTAGCCTGTTCCTGATATTTAGTTTAGTTGATTTCTGTTCCACTAGATGGCGATCTGTCATCTACAAAGTTCATGTGAACATGGCCAGGATATGCCTTTTTCGATTTTAATACCAACACCTGACCTTTTTATTATTTCATTTTTTATTTTTCAAATATATATACTGTTCTTTGAAAGACTTTCTAAAACAATGAAACAAAACTCTAAAACTGCATCATTTTCTAGCCTCTTTATGAGTCCACGCTGGAAATTCTAATATACTGATTTATGAGAAGCCTCCAAAGAAGAACATTTCTCTTATCGAGAATAGAAGATCAGCACTTTTCCAACTTTTTTTCCCAAGTTCGCAAACACAGGTTTGATGCTACACCCTATTATGTACAATGAAGCTAACTTTCTTAAAACAAAAATGTAAAAGAAAGGTACTGTATGATTCTGTTTACGCTGGGTTAGTCACTATATTGAACTTATCAAAGACCACTTATAAACAGGAATGCTCTTAGTTTCTTTGAGTTGGTCTTTCATTTGTGTTTGGATATGTCAGACAAATTCTTTTTTGTTTTTGGCAATGGTGATCGCTTATCATATAGGTTTCTCACGAGAGGCTTGCAGTTTCTGTAGTGACAATTGACAATTAAAATACAGTTTATTGACATCTAGTCAACGGTCAAAAGAGAGTTTCAAAGTTTAAAACAGTGTAGGAAATATGTACACCAGACGAGGCCTTCACTGAAGGGACGTCATGAAGGAGCCCGAATCCTCCATAAGTTTAGACAGTCCCATGCATGTTGTCTGCATGCTCAACATGCTCGATGATAGGTTTGAGGAACTTGGAGAGACTAATTCTCAGAGGAGAGTGACGAGGTGTGTTCAAAAAGTATCGCGACTTTTGAATTTTCGCGGATTACGTATATTCGAATTTCGATCTTTTTGTGGCTTTATGTTGGTACTCATGTCTCTCACTTATGCCGACAAGCTCGGCCATTTTGAATGTTCACTTAATTGTTGACAGCTGCTTTGCTTGCAGGTGTTTTGGATCGTCTTCGATTTTTACCTATTAAAAAAAAAAAATGGATCAAAGAACCTGTATCAAATTTTATGTGAAAAACGAAATTAAGTGCGCGGATGCATTCAGAATGTTGACTGTGGCATACGGAGAAGCTACCTTGGACCGAAGCAATGTTTATCGGTGGTACAAAATGTTCTCAGAAGGCCGAGAAGATGTGAACAACGAAGAGCGTGCCGGACGCCCGAGCACTTCAACAACAGACGAAAAAATTAATGAAGTGGAGAAAATGATATTGGCCAATCGTCGAATCCCCGTTAGAGAAGTTGCTGAGGACCTAAACATATCGATTGGCTCGTGCCATTCGATTTTTATCAATGATTTGGGCATGAGACGGGTCGCCGCGAAATTCGTACCAAAATTGCTCAATTGCGACCAAAAACAGCATCGCATGAACATTGCTAATGAGATGTTGGACTCTGTCCGCGACGACCCAAATTTGCTCCAGAGGGTCATAACTGGTGACGAAGCGTGGGTTTATGGTTATGACGTGGAAACCAAAGCTCAATCATCTCAATGGAAGCTGCCGCACGAACCAAGACCGAAAAAAAGCGCGCCAAGTTCGGTCGAATGTGAAAGTTTTGCTGACAGTTTTCTTCAATTGCAGGGGCGTGGTGCATCATGAGTTCTTGCCACAGGGTAGAACGGTCAATAAGGAATATTACTTGCAAGTTATGCGCAATTTGCACGAAGCAATCCGCCAGAAACGTCCGGATTTGTGGAAGAACAAAAATTGGCTTTTGCACCACGATAACGCCCTTGCTCACACATCGTTGCTTGTGCGCGACTTTTTGGCCAAAAACAACACACTAATGATGCCGCAGCCACCGTATTCCCCAGATCTGGCCCCCTGTGACTTTTTCTTGTTCCCTAAACTGAAGAGGCCCATGAAAGGACGACGTTACGCTACGCTTGACGAGATAAAGACGGCATCGATGGAGGAGCTGAAAAAGATTAAAAAAAAAAATATTTTTTGAAGTGCTTCGAAGATTGGAAAACCTGTTGGCACAAGTGTATAATATCTCATGGGGATTACTTTGAAGGGGACAAAATAGGTATTCTTGAATAAATAAATAATTTTTGAAAAAACACAAAAGTCGCGATACCTTTTGAACACACCTCGTACATCCTATCAAGGTCGGATTGGATCGCGTGTAACACATCCGCCATGACTATATTGCACTTATATGAGGGGCCCAGGAATGTTACATCACTCAGGTGGTCGAACATCAGTTTCTGTAGTGTGTACCTGTGATCAGGATGACTCCAATCAAATTTTCCCTCATCCACCAGATTCTGAAGCCGAGCCTTGTTGGGGAAGAAAAGGGCAAGATCTGTGGCCAGGATGCAATGTTTGATGTTTCCCAGTACCTACCACATCCATACAACATTACAACATGAAGTTTCGGGAGGATGATATTCATATACCAAAAAAGACATCTCTCCCTTTAACTGTACATCAGAACGATGACACTATGCATCGCCCTAGTAAAACCTTTACTAGTGATGATAAAGAATAAGCCACAACATATTTGATTTTTGGAATATTCTGACAAATATAAAAACCTAAGAAGCTAATATATAATAACAAAATTCTTCTTTTTCTTCTTCTTTCTTATCTCCACTCAATCATATTAGGGTATCAAGTTGTGACCCTTGATGGTGTCTGTTTGACAACCATCATGACTGGATGAAGTAGAATACGTCTGCCTTTGTCATTAAGACTGGGAGCACTACTCAGTGGCAGGCCGACTTAGCTCCAAAAGAAATGGCAGCCTCTGACATGAGGAACAGATGCCATGTGCAGCCGCTCCTAACCTAGAGTAAAAACGCTGCTCATCCTGTATCCCTGAATTAAGAGCCCTTACAGGGTACTATCAGCCGGGCCAGCTGAGCCCAGGTTTTTTAGTGAGCTTGTTACTGCTCCCCCCTCCTCCTTTTTCATCCGGGCTTGGGACCGGCAAAGGCGGAGTTTAATAACAAAATAAAAATACCTCAATATAAATGTGTTTTCAGCTAAATGAAAGGTATAGGCTCCAATGCAGCATACACAGTACCTGTTTGTATTCACTCCCATTCAAATTCTTCAGGATGTTATGGCCTTCTTGCTGAAAACATACAGATACCATTGGCTCTTCTATCAAAATATTGCAATCAGAAATATACAGGATGGTCCATAAGTCGCGAACCCTTTCTATAAGTACTTGTAGTTTGCCTTTAATTTTTAATTAAAAATATAAAAGTTTTCGGGATTTATGGGCCACCCTGTATATAGGATAGTAGAATTATAAATATTCCACTTTGTTGTTAAATGTTACTGAAAATGTAGTAATCCATTATAAATACTTTATAACTTGAGCTATATCATGGATTCTACTGCTCTTTCTGTAATGATAAATTAATAGGAGGGCCTGGCTCATCAGTGGTAAACCCTCTCAGCGGTTTCGCCAGGCCCTCACATTAATTTATAATTGCAGTAAGGGCAGTAGAAACTTTTTTAAATTTTAAAAAGAAGCATACGTGTCTGAAATAGTTTCGATTTCTTATATAAAAGGTTTATTTTATTTTATTTCAACACACAAAACGCGATATTCCGGCTAGGGATAATTGCGTCGATTTACATTTTTTTAAAAACAGAAGCAGTTATAAACATATAAAAGATATATTATATAAAATTATATAATTTTATAAAAGATAACGCGTTTAAAATATCTATGTGGTTGACCAAGTTTTAAAAAATAATTACAGTGAAAAAAAATTATATCTCAGAGGTAACTTTGACAATATTAGATATACAGGTAGCCTAGTGGACATGGCATCTGCCCGGTAAGCGGAACAATGTGGGTTCGTTTCCCATCTCTAGTCACTTTTATTTTTCCGTTTATCATTACTCTTCACAATTCATCCTTTCACACCTCATCCCTAAGGTTAGAAATAATCGTTATTTCTCCTTAAAATAAATTTCTATTTTTCGTTCAAAAGAAACACATGCGGGATAATTTTCAAATGTCGTTCTACAGGTGGCATTACAATTACTAATAAGAAAGAGAGAGATTTAGTGTTAAGACATTAGTTGGAATTAAATTTTTGGGAGACATTTCGTGAACTATTGGAAGTATAAATAGGTGTATGCGGTTTTGATAAAGATGGCCATACTAGTTTCTTATTCCATTGTTTCTCTGGCACTCATTATTTTGAAGCGTCATCATAATATTTGGGGGTATGAAAATTCGAAACTATTATAGGCGCGTATGATTCTTTTTAAAAATAAACAATTCCTACTGCTCTTACTGCAATGGAAAAATTAATGGGAGGGCCTGGTATATCAGTCGTGAACTCTCCCAACGGTTTCGCAAGAAGAATCATACGCGTCTATAATATTTCATAATACAATATAATGCGGCTTATGATTGTAAAACGTCATTTGAAAATTATCCCGCATGTGTTTCTTTTGAACTAAAAATCGAAATTTATTTTAAGGAGAAATAACGATTATTTCTAACCTTAGGGATGAAGTATGAAAGGATGAATTGTGAAGAGTAATGATAAACGGAAAAATAAAAGTGTCCAGAGATGGGAATCGAACCCACAGTGTTCCGCTTACCGGGCAGATGCCATGTCTACTAGGCTACCCTGGACATATGGGTTAGAAATAATCGTTATTTCTCCTTAAAAATAAATTTGGAATTTTCGTTCAAAAGAAACACATGCGGGATAGCATTTCAAATGTCGTTTTACAGTGTCTATAATAGTTCCGAATTTTCATAACAGATGGCGTGCTAATGCATTATAATATATGGAATGGATAAAATCAGAGATGAGCTGTACCTGCAGAATGGTGACTGTCATGTTGAAATGGTGATGTTCCAGAGTGGATGTGGTGTAGATAGCGGCCAAGGGGGAGGCAGAGTTCACAAGGAACTGGTTGGTCTTACCCCTGTGGTCCAAGTCGTGGCAGAGGCAAGCCACAAACAGAGAAAGCTCCTGGACAAACACCAAATTCTTCAAACTCTTATCTTTCATATTACGGGGACACACACTAAAGAGGCTCCACCCGGAAGACCTAGCGACCTCCCAACACTCCAAGGAGGTCACATCCCCCTCCACGCTCCAGGAGGAGCGCGATGCTTATGCGATGCGCTATTCAATATGAAGCGGTGCAGCAGAGAAGATGAAGAGAAGATGTGGGCAAGCCAAGAAAAGAAGGTATGCAGCCCCCCCCTCCACAAGGAAGTGTTGATTGACAGATTCCAGAGGAGGGGGCAGGAGACAAACAGTCCAGCTGGTGCCGTGTGAAGGGAAGAGCCGAGAGAGTAGTCGGCCTGAGGGGAGTGGGTGCGCCCGGAGGACATCACAGTCTGGGAAGGAACGTCAGTCTGGTGACATCTGCGGTGGATGATCCTGCCAGGCGGTGCCAGGAGAGACTGACATCGGAGCGAACTACAAGGCGTTGTAGTCCAGGCTGGACTTGAATAGTGTGGAACGGAAGGTTCTACAAGAGGACATCCACGGCGCCAAGGGTACTTCTGAAGGGGAGTTGAAGGCAAGTCCCACTGGTATATTCCTTCTTTTGAGTGAGACATAATAAAGCGTTAACTTTATCTTCAATCCCTTCGAACTCACATGTGTATCTTTGTGGCATCTTGAGTAGACAAAGTACACGAATAGCGTCTGGGTTCGACGCAACAATATTATTGTGCTTAGGTTATGGAGGGTCCTGAGGAAATATGAAGACAACACGCAAATAAAAGTTTATTTTGTCATGTGACAACTGTCCACTTGACAAGTAGACGTCTAAACTACAAGGATTATGAAGATGATATTTATAATGAAACAAAAATAATGCATCTATATAAAAAGGTAACTGAGCGATCAAATACATAAATGCAAATTAATTTAGGCAATTTAAAAGAAATAGACAAAATTAAGAAAATGAATGTATTGTCGACTCAAACCAAAGAGAAGAACTTGATCAAACATAATTGTATTCATTCAGTTATATATTTAAAATTCGAAACTATTTTAAAGAAGTAAGATTCTTTTTGATTTAGACATTTTCTACTGCCCTTACTGCAATGGAAAAATTAATGGGATGGCCTGGCTCATCAGTGGTGAACCCTCTCAGCGGTTTCGCCAGTTTAATCTACCATACCGCTGTTATATTGCATTTTTGGAACTTCCTTTTATAGTGATACTGTTGCTTGACTCTTGGAATGGGTATTTTACAAGAACTATGGACATAAGCTTTGAGGGCAGTAGAATTACATACAATTATAAATATATAATATGCTTCGAGCAATCGCTTTTCCGCAAATATCAAATTGTGTCTTTAATCAGAACATATATAATATGATGCACTAGCGCGCCATCTGTTATCAAAATTCGAAACTATTATAGACGCGTAATATTCTTTTTGATTTAGACCAAGAGTCGAGCAACAGTATCACTATAAAAGGAAGTTCCAAAAATGCAATATAACAGCGGTATGGTAGATTAAACTGGCGAAACCGCTGGGAGGGATCACCACTGATGAGCCAGGCCCTCCCATTAATTTTTCCATTGCAGTAAGGGCAGTAGAAAATGTCTAAATCAAAAAGAATCTTACGCCTTTAAAATAGTTTCGAATTTTGATGGCGCGCAGGTGCATCAGTTATATATTTGTTGCCTATCAGATTGAAACAAGGATAAGTCGCCCAAGAGTTAATTTCTCTGTTTCTCCAAGCAAAAGCGATAAAATATTATATGCATGATTTAATCTTGTATTCTGCTAGAGTAGAACCTCCATGAGAGGACACTCACGCTAGAGGATATCTCTCTATAAAGGACATTTTTTATTTCAAAATGATCATTTTTACTATTTAACAACTCTCCTGTAAGAGGATACTTCTATCTAAAGGGCAATCTGGCTCTGCAATTAGGTATCCTTTACAGGGAGTTATAATATATTACAAATATCACAAGTTGAAGAATAAAAGGGTATTGGAAATTACCTCGAGAGGTCTGAAGGCGCCTGGAGCTTTTTTGATGATGGCATACATGGCGTTGGCTACACTAAAGCCATGGGCCCAGTTGTGGTACGGCACCCGTCGGTAGTTCTTGCGGACAGTTAGAGTAAAGCGGATCACGCTTTCCATCTCAAACCTGGATACACCCAAAGTTATCGCTTTAAAAAATGTTCTTCTCTTAGCAAATTGTATTTTATTTATAAATATCCTAGGTGTATATATATGTCATAATATATACTCCTCCAGGAATAATAAAGTAAATCTACAGACGACAACTCAGTGATAGACGGGAGGGTAAAGACATCAGCGACATACCACTGGGGCCCGTTAGTTAACACCTCGGGAATTTTAAGACAGTTGGGGATTGTGGTGCGACACGAACGGCCGCCCGGCTGTGCCGGGCCCGTCTCTCTCTCTCTCTCTCTGTTTGCCTGGGTTCCTCTTCCAAATTGTGGTGTGTTATTTTTCCCCACCTTTTATGCCATATATATATATATATATATATATATGGTAATTTAAACCAACAACCCCATACTGTGTATATAACTTATAATAAGATTGTCATGTTGTATATAGAAACACATCTATAAATAATTATGCGCATGATTAATCTGTGTCAATGCATCGCCATATGTAATGTAATTTGTACAAAGTGGATAAATAAATAAAATCTGTAATAGATTTAAGAGTTGAGCTAAAGCAGAGATCGAGCATAGTATTGCCAAAACAACAAAGTCTAAAGATGGAAGTCATAAATCAGGTCGATTTACAATTCCCACAAACAAGGCCACCCACACTGTCACATGTGGTGGAATGCAGAGACCCCTCTCACACCTGGACATGCCAAGGCCCCCCTTTCTCAGAAACGCCCCTGTCACATAAGGTCGCCCCGTCTTTAACCTATAAATACATCACCTTACAGTGACTTGACAGTTCAGTTCAGTTCAGTTTAGTTTAGTTCACCCTTAGTGCAAGCCGCGTCGGTCGTATGTTATGTCGATCTCATCCAACATGTAGTTAGGAAGAACTCGTCTATCTCCATCTTTTCGCTCCTAGCTCAGCTTTTATCTGTTAACGGAAATTTCTTAGTGCAACTGTGTCTTCGCTTTTTGTGTATGGATATCCCCAAGCTTTTCCACTCTGCCTCGACCACGACTGCCTGTATTTTGTGAGAACTTTTAAAGGTCTTCAAGGTGCAGAGAGGTACTGGAAAACTCTACATCCTGACTGTTCCTCTTGGTCAACACAGTACAACAAGAGCTACCAGGACTCTCAAATTATTACAGCTAGTCGACAGGATTCTACAAGTCGACAACAACCAAACATTCAACTATATATTTCAGTAGTCGACATCAAACTCAACAAATCATCACAGATAAGTCGACAGGATCTCTACAAAAGCTACTGGAATTCTCATCTTTCATTACATATATATATTTTTATTATTTTTCATTCTTTCGTTTAATGACAATTGAAACAAATTTTATTGACTTCTTGTCAATAATTTACATTAAAAATGGAAATAATGAATAAACTAATATACAGATGATCATGCGGGGAATGTGCCCCCGGCGGGTAAGCTCTCTTTCCCAGGCGATGAGCGGGTGGTCAGCCCAACCTGTACGAAGTACCGGTAGATAATGGATTTGGCCGACGCCAGAATGACCAAGTCGTCATCTTTGAGGCCACACCCGAATATCCAGGCCCGCAGGTCAGGGGGTCTCCCGAGGACACTGAAGGCTTCGATGATAAGGGTAGGTGTGTGTATATCCTCTATTGTGGCTGAGCGTGTGATGGTCGGTATCCTAAATATTTGTAAACAATATAGCTACATCAAACAATAATTTATTAAATTCTCGAC